AAAAATGGGCCCATTTTTGCGGAAAAAAACAGGCTGTTTTTGGGAGGTTTGCAGAGCGCAAAAAAATTTTTTTTCCTTTTGGAAAGCTCTTTAACTGATTGATGAGAATTACATTGATCAAGTGCTGTGCCAGCAGAAACAAAGTGTTAGGTGCTGCAGATTGTCAGCGATTTCCTTCTCCAGCACATGGATAAATATACTTGGAAACATCTCCCTACCTACCTACTCTCTCTCCCTAGCTACCTACTGATTTCTCTCTATCTATATCCCTCTATCTACCTACCTACTCTCTCTCTCTCCCCCTATTTACTGTATTTCTCTCTCTCCCTCCGCTATCTATCTACGTACCTACCTTCTCTCTCTCTCCCTATCTACTGTATTTCTCTCTCTTTCACTCTCTCTATCCCTCTACCTACCAACCTACCTAGTCTCTCCCTACCTATCTACTGTATTTCTCTCTCTCTTTCTATTTCTCTCTCTATCCCTCTACCTACTACCTACACTCTGTCTCTCCCCCACTTACCTACTGTATTTCTCTCTCTCTCTCTCTCTATCCCTTTATCCACCAACCTACCTACCTAGCTACTCTCTCTCCCCCTACTTACCTATTGTATTTTTCTCTCTCTATCTACCTACCTACTTTTTTAAAAATTTGCCTCTTCAAAACCTTGGTGCGTTTTACACTCCAATGTGTCTTATACTCCAAAAAATACGGTACTATATTATTCTTTATTTCCTTTTAAATAGCATCATGTCCCACCAAAGTCCAAATGCTCACCCTCGCTATCAAGGATGTAGTCACGTGGAAACATGATCCCACAACCCATAATGTCTCCTTTATAGCAACGGGGGCCAAAGGGATCCCCCACTCCACTTCCATGGAAGATTTTGCCATCATCTGCAAAAGAGAAAAGGAACAATCATTAAGCATTGTGAAGTTTCTGGATCTCAGTTTGCCTTCACCAAACATCGGCAAAAGAAAAGCTGCTAAAAATGCTAGGGGTTCCAAGGCCAGATGCAGACATCTCAGGCTAAGCTACGGTTAACCAAGCATCACTTCAGTCATCAGGCAGGGATAGAAAGGATTACCAAGAATTTGGCACGGGACAAATTCAGTTCCCCTGGGCTGTTTGGTAAAATTACGGGTTTTAGGAATTGCCTGTCTCCCTTTTACTCGACATTCAGAAACTGAACCAGGAATAGCTCTATTTTTCTAGGTCTTGTGATCCCAAAGCCATAAAGAAACAGGACAGAACAAACACTAACATGCATCATTTCAGACAGTGGTCCCCAACTTTTTGGGCCCCAGGGACCAGTTCCGTGGAGAGAGATTTTTCCATGGACCAGAGGGGGCCTGATTTCACTTGCTGCCTGCATCCTACGGGGGGAGCTTCGCTTGTTTGCACAGACCAGTTAATGGCATGCCATGGACAGGTGCCAATCCATGGAATTAAGGGTTAAGGATCCTTGATTTAAGAGAGGTAAATAAAAAAAATTCTCCAACTAAGCAGTTGGGGGCTTCCTGGGAGAGGTGCAACAGAGCATTGTTCTACCTGACCATTGACCATTCAAAATGGTACAACAGCACTGAAAAATGTAACTTATGACCATTTTTCACAGTGATATGCTTTGCAGTATCCCCATGATCATATGATCAAAGTTGCTTGGAATGGGTTCATATGTACGACCATTGCTGTGCACCCCAAGGTCATGTGACCTCCTTTTGCAAACTTCTGACAAGCAAAAGTCAACGGGGAAAAGTTGTAAAATGGGACAACAGTCACTTAACCCACCCACTCAACTGCAGAGATTTTGAGTTCAATTGTGATCATACGTCAAAGAGACAACTGGTACTGAAACCCCATAATAAACTCTGAATCTTTGCTTTATGAACAGGCCGGGCAATGATTCCTCTGGGCTCCTCTGGCAAGATAACCCAGCATGCCTAACCAGGCAGGATTCAAAGTCGACTAAGTTTCCCATAGTGTCTATTTACAGTACAGTCCCCCCCCCCCGGGGATAAACACACCGGTCCAGCCAATCAGATGCTCTGCCGGGCCAGACCAACAAGGGGTGGGGCGGGGAAATACATACTTTTGTGCCACCCATGATCAAAGTCAGACGACTCCGAAACCCAGTGGTCAGAACAATTCCTTTCCTCTGGGCAGAGGAGAACAAAAGCAGAAAGGAAGGGAGAGGTGGAGCAGAGACCACTTGAAAGGCCCCGGTGCTCTTTCATTCTCCGCGAATTCAGCTACGCAGAGGCTGCGGGTGCCCAGAACACAAGGCACGGGGCCAAGACCCTTTTGTCTTCATGAAAGAGGGAGGTTTGCTTGGCAAAAGGGCAGTCAATATTTCCCTCTGCTGCCAAGGAAACTTTGAGAACAATCTTGTGCAAACATTCCAGAACGTGTTCTCAAATAATGAAGGCTGGCCAGCGGGAGCGCCTTTTAGGGAATCCCTAAGCTCAGTAAAACGTAAGAAAGGAAGATCAAGAGGACGGCAGCTGATGGGAGAAGAACAGACCCGTGGTTGGGAAAGGGTGAAGAAGACCAGTTCTAGCAGGAGATGGGCAACGGAAAGTTAATGCACTATCTTACTCTGAAGTTGTGCCTTTCCCTTCCTTGAAGCAGATTTGTCCAAAATGGACTGTTGGGAGTGATCCTGCTTAGATTGTCCCACTTTCTCAGGGGGGTCCGTCCCGCAACTTTCTTGAGTGTGATTTATACATCTATGGAAGCGGGGTACTTAGAACCGAAGTGATTCTTGGTGTCCAGGTTCCAAAAAGTAGGGAGAATGAGCATCCTGAAGCCAAACTGCTCCAACCTAAACAGTGTCGGACATTCCTCAATCCTCCATAAATCTTCCCTGGGCGAAGCCGTTCAGGGTCTCATATACTCTAAAAGGGAGATCAAAAGTTGGCCCGTGCTTTGGAAAGTAAGCAGGCTTAACGGAAAGACTGAAATGATTTTCCTTGGCTCCAATTAAATCAAGCAGAGTTATTCTCAAGGTATGTAATTTTTTTCCCCTCTGTCACATTAAAAATTACAATTTGGTGGCAACTTTTGCAAGACTTTCAGAAGCTGCAGTTGATCTTGGGGGCCTCCTGGTGCTCCTGTTCCAGAATTAAGAAAAAAAACAGTTCACTCAGGAATGCAGTTCAACATACATCTGAGTGAACTATTTTACCCTATTAGAAGAGGACGCACGTTAGCCACAAACCACTGTTTTCTGCCTTCACCTTTTTTGCTCTTCTTGTGAAGTTTTTAAGGAGGAGGGCAGCCTTTGCCTACCTGTAGCATCTTGGGAGAGAGGAATCTTTCATTGTGGTGGCATGAAGACGGCTAAGGTGGCACTGCCTAGAGTGAGTGAGTTAGAAGATCTGAAATCTTCATCTTTTTTTCATTATTTTTAGAAGATGACCTGGAGAGCAGGAAGCCCAACTGTTTTAAATGTCCCTCAGTGTAAACGTACGTCATCAATTTTCTGTGTGATGTGTCCTTTGCATCCAAAAGTAGTCGATCCAAGATTCTACAGATGGTCCTCGACGTATGACCACAATGGAGCCCCAAATTTCCATTGCTAAGCAATGAGTTGTTAAGTGAACTTTGCCCCATTTTACAATCTGTTTTGCCACTACTGATAAGCGAATCACTGCAGTTGTTAAGTGAATCGTGCTGTCGTTAAGGGAATCTGCCTCTCCTTCCGTTGACTTTGCTTGTCACAAGCTGGTTGGGATCACTGCTGATCACATGATCCTGGGACAACGGAACTGTCAAAAATACATGCCAGTTGCCAGGCAGCCAAATTTTGATCACATGATCACATGGGAATACCGCAATGGTCTTAAGTGTGGAAAAAATGTCATCGTCACTTTTTTTCAATGCTGTTGTAACGTCAAAGGAATAGTTGTAAGTCGAGGACTACCTGTACAGAAAACATCATCAGTCCACCTGCAACAGAATGCAACAGCTAGAAAATCTGGGACATTTTCTACCTTTTATGGGGCAAAAATACAAAACAAAAAAACAAAACACCCTTACCCAAACCCAGATGAGCCAAATAATTACAGGTACTCCTCGACTTACGACCACAATTGAGCCCAAAATGTATGTTGTTTTAAATGAGACATTTGTTAAGGGAGCTTTGCCCCATTTTACAACTTTTCTTGCCACATTTGTTAAGTGAATCATTCCAGTTGTTAACAAGGTTGTTAAGTGAATCTGGCTTTTCCATCAACTTTGCTTGTCTGAAGGTTGCAAAGGCATTCACATGACCCGTCAACCGTCATAAATATGAACCAGTTAAGAGCAATGGTGGTGCAGTGGTTAGAGTGCAGTATTGCAGGCTACTTCTGCTGATCACCGGCTGCTAGCAGATCAAATCTCACCAGACTCAAGGTTGACTCAGCCTTCCATCCTCCTGAGGTCAGTAAAATGAGGACCCAGATTGTTGGGGGGAATAGGCTGACTCTGTAAACTGCTTAGAGAGGGCTGTAAAGCACTGAGAAGCGGTATATAAGTCTGAGTGCTAGTGCTAGTTGTCAAGCATCCATACGTTGTTGTTTGGGGATGCTGCCTAAGAGTGAAAAATGGTCGTAAGTCACTTTTTTTAGTGCCGTTGTAACTTTGAACAGTCAGTAAATGAACTGTTGTAAGTCGAGGAGTACCTGTATAAGCAGATAGCTAAAAGACAGACTTTTAGTAGCAGACCCCAACATATGAGATGAGAGTTGCTAAGTTTATGGCCAGCTGGCCAAATCACTCCATGCTAATCTGTTTTGGCTTCTTTCTAACAGTGACTTTTGGCATTATTTGTAAGTAGAACTGCATCTAGGAACTGTTGGATCTTGTTCGTATAAGCATCCCAAATATGCTGAATTATGAGGTTTTGAATTTCACTGGTTTTTGATCCTTAAGCCTGAAACTATAACCACAGGATCTGTTGAGATCCCAGCAGCCAAGGAGGAAAGAATGAATCCTTGATAAACAGCTGAAGAATATCAACTTTCCCAATGGTTATTCTAGTCTTCTCTACATTCGTTTATCTGGTCTATTCTTTTTGGAATAAGTTAAGATTGTTTGCCAGGTAATTATTCTCTCTCCTAGGTACTCATAGTGCAGACAAATTACTTAACCACAATTTGCTTTCTTTGTCCTGGCTGAGAGGGCCACACAAATTATGAAACCATATTTACCTTCTCAGATTCCCTCCCCTCCAACCTGATATTCTCCAGACCTATCAAATTTCATCAATTCTTGTTGAGTTAAGCATGGGTAACATGTCAAAAGAAATTCCTGTGAGATTTCTAGTAAGAATCACTACTTTAACCATGGTTTGCTAACACAGACTTAATTGCTGTTGCTGTGGATGATATAGACTCTGTTTCACTATCTAATTATATGGGACTTTGGTTTTAGTGAGGAATCATTTTTTACTTATTATTGGGCTGATGGTTGTCCAGCAGCTAAGGGCAAAACTACACATGGCTATCTCTATTATATGATGAAAAGATGGCCAAATTAAAAAATGCAACATTTGTGCCAGCATGACAAACAATGAGGATGACTATGATATTGGAGTCTTGGAAACCACTAGCAGTGCTGAAGCCAGTTTATGTATGAATTTGAAACAAAACAGAAAGAAGGATCAAATGTTCAACTGTTTTCAGTAATTCCCCAAAAGGTAATGAAGAGAACCTAACGAGAAGCTTAAGAATGATAAATAGGTAACTGGAAATAGCTTCTTCGCCTTTACCGGGATTGATACTACAAGGGAACTAAGACATAGCTTTAGTTCATGTAGTATCTACGGTTGGTTGTGTCTTCTAATCTAATAAGACAGCTCAGGCTTGCTCTGTTGGGCTCTTGGTATTCTCTAAATACAGATTTTTACAAG